ATAATTAAGTTAGAACGGAGTATCCCTTCTTCCTGTGTGGGAGAGCAATGATCAACCTCTAGACTGGCCTTGTGTGTAGCCAAGTATTCAGCACTGCTTATAGTTTATTTGGGGGCCGGGCCTTTTAGTTCTCCCATAGTTGATAACTCTGTATTCTAACTACCCTTACCCCTTAATAGTACCAGTTCCCCATAGCAAGCCCACCATTTTTCATAAGACGTTATATGACAGAGTGCTGGAAAGACGGGACACCACGAGCATAGCTCTCATCCTGTAACTACACTTAGGTAATTACACATGCACACAGTGTGTATCAAAAGTTTGTCTATGTGGTATTCATCTCACAGTACCATAATCTCATTTAATGTCATGGCAAGAGGACAATACAATGAACAATTATGAAATGGAAATTACACAGTACTGTATACATGATAGTAATATATCTGAGACCTAAATGCATACATTCTCCACTATAGTTCACATATTTCCTATACAGCATTATGTAGTATTCAGTATATAAAGCATATAAGGTTCTTCAAACTACATGACATTAGGCTACTGCTATTCACTAGACATCTAATATATATCCACAAATACATGGCATACATCTTTGATACAGAAATATAATATACTTGGTTATGTATGACATACATTGGCCATACATAAATTATAATATTGTCTAAAGATTAGCCATAAATTTTAATATTCGCGATACTAGGCTAATCAGCCAAAGATATCACTATATAGTTTGAGCACATCATACACCAGCCTCAATATGATCATACTGGTGTCTGCACAGTCATAACAGCGGCTTCGTCAAGTTACCGGCCTATGTCGAACTTGTTGGTTCTCCGAGGCGGCCATGGTGGTCCTGCCCGGAAGGGTCACACCAGGTCTCGGGGCTCCTTTGGTCGTCATAAGCCAGTAATGCCAGATTCGGGACCAGCCCCTCCTGCGGAGTCGTTGGCGTCTGGTCGGCGCAGTGATTACTCTGAGCGTGCGGACAGCACACTGGACTTGTGATCCTGTGGTCCCAGGTTCGATCCCGGGCGCCGGCGAGAAACAATGGGCAGAGTTTCTTTCACCCTATGCCCCTGTTACCTAGCAGTAAAATAGGTACCTGGGTGTTAGTCAGCCGTCACGGGCTGCTTCCTGGGGGTGGAGGCCTGGTCGAGGACCGGGTCACGGGGACACTAAAGCCCCGAAATCATCTCAAGATAACCTCAAGATAGCGTCGGTCAGGCTCTCGTAGGGGTCATGCCTGGTTGATACCTGGTTGATGGGATTCTGGGAGTTCTACTCCCCAAGCCCGGCCCAAGGCCAGGCTTGACTTGAGAGTTTGGTCCACTAGGCTGTTGCTTGGAGTGGCCCGCAGGCCTACATATCCACTGCAACGCGGTTGGTCCAGCATTCCTTGGAGGAAACAATCTAGTTTCCTCTTGAAGATGTCCACAGTTGTTCCAGCAATATTTCTTATGCTCACTGGGAGGATGTTGAACAACCGTGGACCTCTGATGTTTATACAGTGTTTTCTAATTGTGCCTATGGCACCCCTGCTCTTCACTGGATCTGTTCTGCATTTTCTTCCATATCGTTCACTCCACTATGTTATTTTACTGTGCAGATTTGGTACATGGCCTTCCAGTATTTTCCATGTGTATATTTTATGGTATCTCTCTCGTCGTCTTTCTAGTGAGTACATTTGGAGAGCTTTGAGACGATCCCAATAATTTGGGTGCTTTAACGCGTCTATGCGTGCTGTACATGTTCTCTGCCTTCCCTCTATTTCAGCAATCTTTCCTGCTCTGAAGGGGGAAGTGAGAACTGAGCAGTACTCAAGATGGGACAACACAAGTGACTTGAAGAGTACAACCATTGTGATGGGATCCCTGGATTTGAAGGTTCTCGTAATCCATTCCCCCTAGGTCGAATTCTCGACCTAGGGTTGTCTGCCCTTTCGCGGTTCGCCCCCTTGACGGGGCGATGGGGGAGGTTCGCCTGGTCCCATGATTCGTGAGCATTTCAGGTCGTTTCCTCCGGCCTGCAGTGGCTGTGGGTCGTTCCTCCTCCTTCGTGGGTATTGGGGCTGGCAGGGCAGGCCTCTTTCCCCCTGCACTCTGTTGGGTTATCTTGCAGTGGGTTCACTTGGACATGGTCGAAACGACAATGCCCCTCAAGTGGGTTTCCCACCTGTTTTTAGTTCTGAAGTGAGACTGCGGATCTTCAATTCATACTGTACTTGTCCCGTCTGAACCCTGGGTTTTTTTGCCATTCCTTCTGGATGGTATCTCTGGCCCTCCGGGATGCGTGTTGGCATGTCCCGATTCATCCATGGTTCAGGAACTGGGTCAGTTTTGTCGTGGGGCGACAGGTTTACTGCTTTCGTTGCCTTCCATTCGGTTTGAATCTGGCACCTTGCATGTTCACACGCCCTACCCGGGTCATAGTGACTCGTTTGCGTCTATTTGGGGTTTGGCTTCTGGCTTGCCTTGAGGATTGGCTGGTGTTGGCTCCCAGCCAATCCACGTGTCTGCTCACCAGGGATTTGGTTCTTTCCCAGCTTGCCGGGTTTGGGTTCTTGGTGAAATGGAGGAAGTCCCATTTGGTTCCTTCTCAGGTTCGGGCTTGGCTGGGTCTTGTGTGGGACTCTCGGATCGCTTCCTTGTCTCTCCCTCCTGCGCCGTTGTTTTGGCTGCGGTACCACCTACGACTGTGGTTCCACCTACAACTGGTTCCACCTACGGCTGTTTTTGGAGGGCACCCAGGTCACACGTTGATTGTTGGAGCATTTGTGCAGGAGCCTGAACTTCAGCGTGCTGGTCTACCTGTCGGGTCGTATCTGGCTTCAGCGGCTGTTCTGGTTTCTTTGGGGACGTCCCTTCCGCTGCTCTTGTGATCGTTGGGTTTGGATCCCGTCGGTTGCTGCGTCGCCGGCTTCCTCTGTGCGTTTTTCGAGGTTCTGTGCCGTGGCACCACCCCGAGCCCTCACTCGACATGTTCATGGATGCCTTGTCTCTCGGTTGGGGTTTTGTGACCAGTGCTCACCAGGCTGGCTGGGTCGGTGGGGCCAGTCCTTCCGTCGGGCTCACAGCATGGCACGGGAGTTTGCGGCGGAGTGGCATTCACTTCAGAAGGTTTGTGTCGGTCGCGGGGCAATGATCCGGCTCCATTCAGACTGCTCCCCGGTGGTTCATTGTCTGAATCGCTGGGGTTCGATGTGGTCCTTGGCTCTTTGGGGCTGATTGCTTCAGGTGATTCGTCTGCCGAGTTCTCAGGGTTTGGCTTCTGGCAGTTCACGTTCAGGGGGTGTCAAACGTCCTGGTGGACGGCCTGTCTCGGTTCATTCCCTTGTCCACGGAATGGACGGTTGACGCAGACTCATTCAGTTGGCTCTGCCGAATGTACGAGCACCTGGAGGTGGACCTCTTCGCAACGGCGTGGTAGAGGCGTCTTCCAATGTACGTGGCGCCTTCCCTGACTGCGAGGCTGTCGGGGTCAATGCCTTTTGGATGGACTGGTTGAGGTGGGGTTACCTGTACCTCTTTTCACCGGTTCGGTTGTTGCTCGGGGTCCTGGCTCGCTTGGAGACTTAACAGGGGGGAGTAGTTCAGCACGTGGCTGGTTCGATCTCCTCCACTCTTCGCATCTTGTCTTTTTGACTCTGGTTTATCACCACTTGTATGGTGATCAGGTGGCTTCGTTGATGGTGTCCCACCTGCGAGTTTCGTCTCGACGGCAGTATGAAATTTCCTGGCGGTCCTTTAGACACTTTTTGTCACTTCGTAGGTTTTTTCGATTTCTGATCGGGTTGTTTTGTCCTTTCTCTCTTGGTTGTTTCAGGACGGTCATCTTATGCCAAGTAATGTTGCCTCGTATCGCGCGGGATTTGGCAGAGTCGCTGCAGCTTGCATTTGGGGTGGATGTCACTTCTACTCCGTTCAGCAAGCTTTCTCGGGCGTTTTTCACCTCCGCCCGCTCATGCACTGCCTGAGCCGTCCTGGTTGATGGACCGGGTGCTCTTTTCTCTCTCCTCGGTTTGTGGTGGCCCCCCTCAGTTCAAGACTGTTTTCTAAGGCTCTTTTCTTGTTAGCATTGGCCTCTGGGGGTCGGGTCGGGGAGATCCATGCTCACCTCCAGCGCAGGAGTCTCTGCTCTTTTGGACCTTTTCCAGGACCGAAACTTTTTCATTTGTTTGGAGCAGTCTCCTTCTTTTCTGGCGAAGCTCGAGTCTGCTGCTTTCCAAAGGGGTCCTTGAGTTGTTGATGTTTGGTTGGTTTGACCGAGGGTGCATCATGTTTTGTGTCCGGTTGCGGTTCCTCACCGTTATTTGCGCGCCACAGCCTCTGTGGCAGGGGACGCGCTCTGGGTGGATCTGGTTTCCCTTCTTCCCTGTTTCAGGGTGCAAGTCTCCCAGGTCGTCCAGAGAGACTATGACCTGTTGTTCATGAAGTTCCGGGACTCTGGAATTCTTCCCTATCAATTTTATCGCTTCCTGTTACTGTTTTGTACGTAGTTATCATACCACCTTTTTTTTTCTTCTATCTACTAATTTTTGCATATTTAATGCCTCTAACCTCTTCCTGGAGCTCTTGTCCTTCAGTTCTGGGAGCCACTTAGTGGCATGTCTTTGCACCTTTTCCAGATTGTTGATGGGCTTCTCGTAGATTTATAAGTTGTGTGGGGTCTATGTTCTCCTATTCCACATATCATTAAATTCCATTTGCCAAGTGGTGCTCCATATACTTATTTGTCCAGGTTTTCTTGAACGGCGTGACGATCATCTAAGTTTCTTATCTTCCATATTATCTTAGCATCATCAGCAAACATGTTCATATAATTCTGTTCCATCTGGTTAGGTCATTTATGTAGACAATGAACATTACCAGTACAATGTTGAATGTGTTAATCTTCATGTGCTTCTATCGAAATATAAATATATAGTAGAGGCACATGTGTATATAATAATGCTCCTACATATAATGCGATTTTATTCCCCGCAGGAATGAAAGTCTCCGGACGATGGACAACATCCTCGCCCACATAGGCAACACACCACTCGTCAAACTTAATAACATTCCCAAGAGTTATGGCCTCAAGTGTGATGTTTGTGAGTACAGTTCTTGATGTTTATTCTCACTGCTTATGGTAGTGTGTCAACATTGTGTTCAATACAGGTAGACTATTTGTGAATGAGTTGTGTGATTATGCATTTGGTATGAGGAGTGACGTGCTTGTGATATCGTTGAATTGTGGTGTCGTGGTGGTTGAGTCGGGCACGCTGTCTGTCTGTCTGTCTGGGTGGTGGTTGAGTCGGGCACGCTGTCTGTCTGTCTGTCTGTCTGGGTGGTGGTTGAGTCGGGCACGCTGTCTGTCTGTCTGGGTGGTGGTTGAGTCGGGCACGCTGTCTGTCTGTCTGTCTGTCTGGGTGGTGGTTGAGTCGGGCACGCTGTCTGTCTGTCTGTCTGGGTGGTGGTTGAGTCGGGCACGCTGTCTGTCTGTCTGGATGGATGGTGGTTGAGTCGGGCACGCTGTCTGTCTGTCTGGGTGTTTTTCATGCTACCTGTTTTTCATTCCTAAACAGGGGGTTTGGCGGGTGCATGGAATCACTTTTGGGTCTTTGTTTGGAGGACGGGTTGCATAAACTAGAGTACGTGTAATGCTGTTTTAGATGCGCAAATTAGTGAATGAACTATTTACATTATTCAAATTTAAAATGGCCCATTTAAAAATGCAACTGTGGAATATTTAGCAAAGTAATTAGTATTTTGTGGGAAATTTAAGGATAGAATGAGGGGAGAAGTGATCATGTATCGAAGGAGGGATTTAGTGTGAATAAAACAAGGCCGTGGTACGGAACGAGGCTAGGTAGCGGCAGTTTGTGGAGATGAAATAATTAATGGTTTAATTTGTGTAACAGCTGGTGAGGATCACACTACACTTTGGCTTTGAAAATTTTAGTGTGATGCTGTGTAGAGTATAATAAATGGTAAATGGGGCAGTATATTATTATATTTATAATATCTTTCATCCTTATATCCCCCCCCCCCTTTTTTTTATAACCTGGTTGATGCCTTTTTACTTAAAGAAGGTTTGAAACAGGTTAATGAAGAAAATAATGATTTTTGGAAATACACTATGAAGTTGAGTGTTGTATTTAATTACCTCCTGAATGTTTATGATAAACTGCTCAAAATTATTCTCACACCCTATATTATGTTATGTGAATTTAACGTTTGTGAGTGATCAGTTTTGTTTTGAGTGTCAAATTAGCAGTGTGTGTGTAAATCATGTCGATATTCTCTTTCATGTTAATTCATATTGTTTAATTTGTACTCGCCTAGTTTGGGCTTGCCGGGGGGAGGGGGGTTGAGCTTTGGCTCTTTGGTCCCGCCTTTCAACTGTCAATCTACTACCAATTTGTTATACGTGAGCTCTAAATTCAACAGATGCCAAATGTGAATTCTTCAATGCTGGCGGGAGTGTGAAAGATCGCATTGCTCTGCGCATGGTTGAGGATGCCGAGAAGAAAGGCCTGATAACCCCTGGATTGTCTGTGCTCATTGAGCCCACCTCTGGCAATACAGGTCAGTGAGAAGCATTCCAACATTGTGTGGGGTAGGTAAACTAAATCTTAAATTTTGTAATATTCAATTAGGAAACGTGTCATTATGGAATATACTGTGTAATGCTCGTTACTATGGTAATAACACACACAGATAAACAAAACATATATATATATATATATATATATATATATATATATATATATATATATATATATATATATATATATATATATATATATATATATATATATATATGTCGTACCTAGTAGCCAGAACTCACTTTTTGGCCTACTATTCAAGGCCCGATTTGCCTAATAAGCCAAGTTTTCCTGAATTAATATAATTTCTCTAATTTTTTTCTTATGAAATGATAAAGCTACCCATTTCATTATGTATAAGGTTAATTTTTTTTTATTTTAGTTAAAATTAACGTAGATATATGACCGTACCTAACCAACCCTACCTAACCTAACCTATCTTTATAGGTTAGGTTAGGTTAGGTAGCCGAAAAAGTTAGGTTAGGTTAGGTTAGGTAGGTTAGGTAGTCGAAAAACAATTAATTCATGAAAACTTGGCTTATTAGGCAAATCGGGCCTTGCATAGTAGGCTGAGAAGTGAGTTCTGGCTATTAGGTACGACATATATATATATATATATATATATATATATATATATATATATATATATATATATATATATATATCTCATATATATATATCTCATATATATATATCTCATATATATATATATATATATATATATATATATATATATATATATATATATATATATATAATCTCTATATATATATATATATATATATCTATATATATATATATATATATATGTCGTACCTAGTAGCCAGAACGCACTTCTCAGCCTACTATTCAAGGCCCGATTTGCCTAATAAGCCAAGTTTTCCTGAATTAATATATTTTCTCAAATTTTTTTCTTATGAAATGATGAAGCTACCCATTTCATTATGTATGAGGTCATTTATTTTTTATTGGAGTTAAAATTAACGTAGATATATGACCGAACCTAACCAACCCTACCTAACCTAACCTAACCTATCTTTATAGGTTAGGTTAGGTTAGGTAGCCAAAAAAGTTAGGTTAGGTTAGGTAGGTTAGGTAGTCGAAAAACAATTAATTCATGAAAACTTGGCTTATTAGGCAAATCGGGCCATGAATAGTAGGCTGAAAAGTGCGTTCTGGCTACTAGGTACGACATATATATATATATATATATATATATATATGTCGTACCTAATAGCCAGACCGCACTTCTCAGCCTACTATTCAAGGCCCGATTTGCCTAATAAGCCAAGTTTTCATGAATTAATGTTTTTTCGTCTACCTAACCTACCTAACCTAACCTAACCTAGCTTTTTTTGGCTACCTAACCTAACCTTACCTATAAATATAGGTTAGGTTAGGTTAGGTAGGGTTGGTTAGGTTCGGTCATATATCTACGTTAATTTTAACTCCAATAAAAAAAAATTGACCTCATACATAGAGAAAAGGGTTGTTTTATCATTTTATAAGAAAAAAATTATAGTAAATATATTAATTCAGGAAAACTTGGCTTATTAGGCAAATCGGGCCTTGAATAGTAGGCTGAGAAGTGAGTTCTGGCTACTAGGTACGACATATATATATATATATATATATATATATATATATATATATATATATATATATATATATAATATACACACACACACACACACACACACACACACACACACAGTATGCGAACAAGCCTGAATGGTCCCCAGGACTACATGCAACTGGGGGTGTGAGTTTTCAGTTATATATACAGTATATATATATATATTTTTGCTCATTTAATGTGTTATGACAAGGTGAGGGTGTCGTGCGGGTGGCAGTAGAGATGGGATAGGGGTGGGATAGAGGCTGGCAAGAGGTGATGCTGTAGCTCTGTTGTGTGGAATGTCCAGTTGAGGGAGGTCAGTGGTGGTGTTGCTTCTGGCCGAGATGTGTCGAGACTGCACGAAACATATTTAATCAACATACAGTAATTAGCTTTTCCTGTAATATTATTGAGAGGTAGTGCAGGTAAATGTGTCAGAAAGCAGAAAATTATAAAGGGCATGAGGAATCTTACTCCTTACTGTAAGGTTAATCTACTGTACTGTATTTTGCTGTTACCATCAGTAAACTTCTTAATTACATCTACAGTATACAGGTAATTATAGAAGAAAATTGAATTGTTAAAATCGTTTTATTACAGGAATTGGACTGGCATTATGTGGGGCAGTAAAGGGGTATCGGTGCATAATCGTGATGCCGGAAAAAATGAGCAATGAGAAGGTGTATGTGCTAAGAGCCCTGGGAGCAGAGATTGTCCGCACCCCTACCTCCGCCTCGTGGGATTCTCCCGAATCCCATATTTCCGTGGCAAAGAGATTGGAGAAGGAGATTCCTGGAGCAATGATCCTTGATCAGGTAATATTTTATAGGAAAGAAATTATATTTGTAGTGAAATGTTGGTTAAGTTAATAATTACCGTTTAAACCTTAACATTTATCTAAAAAGTATTTTGTTTACACAATTTGTATTAATTTCTAAAAAAAAAATCATAGTAATTTTTGCCATAAATTTTGTAAATGTTTCGTAAATTTATTGTAGCTTGTCAACTCTGGGTAGCAAGTTAATCTCTGCAAGAGCAGTGTTAAGTGTTATACGGAACGTTACATTTATTATACATTGTTTTACTGCTTTACTACTTCTGTTTTACTGTTTTACTTCTTCGACGACAGTACAAAAACCCGGGCAATCCCATGGCTCACTACGAGGGCACGGCCGAGGAGATCCTGCAGCAGATGGGTGGCAACGTTGACATGGTGGTGGCGGGCGCAGGCACCGGAGGAACCATTACTGGTATGGCAAGGAAAATGAAGGAGCGAGTAAGTTGCACTATTTTTGTGTTTGTTTACATTAGAAGGAAAAGGCATCGTAATTGATGTATAATTTTGTTGTGTATTTTTGGTACCTGTAGCTGGAAGGAGTTTTGAGAGTTCTTCTATTCCCCAAGCCTGGCCTGGGGTCAGATTTGAGAGCTTGGTCCAACAGTCTGTTGGTTGGAGCAACCTGCAGGCCCACATATCCACTAGAACCTGGTTGGTCCAGCACTTCTTGCGGGTAACTTCGCTGGTGGTGCAGTGGTATCACTTGCCTCTGTGCCTCACGAGCGATTTGGCTTTGGTTTGTATCCTGGCCGGGGAGGGTTGACTAGGCCCCAATCCTTAGTTGTACTCTCTTCACTGAGCAGTGATTGGGTATGTTAAGTGATTGGCAGGTCATATTTCAGGGGTAACTAATAAAGATTACTATGAGATAAAAGTTTCATTCTAATTTTCAGCACTTCTCTTGTTTTATGTAAATAGTTTGTTGTTGATTTTTGTGGTTTAGTCTTTGGTCCGTTAACCTTCAAGTTGTTTGTAAAGATTCGCCGACTTTCTAGCGGCTTTCCTGGTGTGGTGGTGAATTCTCTCTTGCTCACTGCACCTGTGATGGGACCAGGTTTTGGCTCTGGTGCCTAGTAGACAAAACGGAGACTCTCAAATCGGTCAAATCAGAGTCAAATCAGACTCTCATGTCTGATTTGACCCATTTGCGTGGAGCATTCTCGGTGAGATAGCTTCAATGAGCCACTATGGCTCGTCCAGAAAATGGCCATTTGTTACATTCAGCACCTTTTGTACATAGGCAGACACGTGTGAAAATCCACAGCCACAGATCAGAGGTTAAAATACTGTTAAATATTTAGCTAAAGATGTATTATGACTGTTGAGTGCCTGCCTACCTGGTGACTACAATGTGATGGTTCTGGGAATCAATATTCACATACTTGAGTCTGACTAGGCCTCCTGGTTGGTGGTCTGGCTGTTACTCAGTGCTGCTAGCAGTCTGATATAAATATCACAGCCTGGTTGATCAGGTACCCATTGGAGGTTTATATAGGTTTCTCTTGAACACTGTAAGAGGTCAACCAACTATGCCCCTTACGTTTAGAGGGAGTGTGTGTTGGAAAGCTTTTGACCTTTGATGTTGAGACAATTCTCTCAAAATCAAAGGTGTTGAGAGATCAAAGGCGCTAAACACCTTTGAGAGCCTTTGAGAAGAGCAAAGGCTCTTCTGTAAGAGGTCGGCCATCTATGCCCCTTTCGTTTAGAGGGAGTGTGTTGTTAAGTCTTTAGCCTTTGGTGTTGAGAGAATTGTCTCCTTCTGCACCTATTGCACTTAAATTTAAATTATGTATCTGTAAGTCGAACCTGTATCTGCACAAGTCGAGCCTGGCCTCGGTCCGGACTCGGGAGTAGAAGAACTCCCAGAACTCTCTCCAGGTATCATCCAGGTGACCCTCTTGCCTGTCCTCTAGAGAATGCAAATCTAGAAATTTCAAGCGGTCGTGCTAATTTATGCTTTTTGAATGGTTTTGGGGAGTAATAGATCACGTTCTCGAGGTGAACAATTTCTCCAGCTTTGACTGGGGCTGTTAGCATGCAACAGTACTTAATCCTAGAGAGCATTAGTGTTCTAAAGTACCAACTTGTTTATATCTCTTATCTCTTGTTTGAAGGGTTCTTATCCAGCCTGTCATTTTTCTTGCACTTGTGACAACTACTTTGTGTCCTTTAAAAAGTATGGTTTTGCAGCATTATTACTCCCAAGTTTTTTGTTTAATGTGACTTTTTCTTTCTATTGTGTCATTTGGTTGCTTTTTGTGGTTTCTCGATATGTGTTTTAATTTTTACCGATGCAGAGAAGCTGGAACTTTATTGAGCATCATGTTTGTGGCCAATTGGAAAACCTAATTTACATTAGTTCAAAGGTTTGCTGCATCCTCTGTTGCCTACTCATAGAAATCCTATCATCATCATCAAGAGAGGATGATGTGGTATTATAGTTTATCGACATCTGATTTGACGACGCGAAAAAGTACTGGACCGAGTACAGTATCTTAAGGGACTAAACTTTTCATGATAAATGATCTAGATTTTACTTCCTTGACTAATTTTAAGTATTAGCCTAAGGTAAATTATTTACAACATTATGTTTAGTTTTAAGACTTGCCTGAGACAGTGTGTATATTAAGAAGGCTTTGTATAACTTCGCTCTTCCATTTACTTGCATCTGTGTAATAATTATCAGTGTAGTCAGCACTCTCGCATATTAGGCGGCTTGTTTGCGATGAATGGCAACACTAGCATTGTAATGTACCTTTCTTAGATTCCAGACTGTAAAGTTGTTGGTGTAGACCCAGAAGGCTCTATCCTAGCATTGCCCGAGGAACTCAACAAGAGTGACGTTACATCTTATGAAGTTGAAGGGATTGGTTACGACTTTATTCCTAATGTCCTCGGTAAGCAGTTTTGTTTATGTTCATTAGTGTAACAAGGATTATATCTTATATTGTTGGCATGTACTTTTAAACTAGACAAACGTATATATATTTTTTTTATTTTATTTCCAATAAAAAAATTTCTTTCTGTAATTTTAATGCTTTGATTGCACTGAGCAAAAGTGGTAGATTTTAAAAATACATCCTAGAATGTGATAAATGTCTTAGTCGATGTCTAGAAATATTATTTGGTCTATCGGGTCCTCTATTAAGAGGATCTATTCAGTTTTAGATAGCGAATATATAATTGTTATAATAAAGAATAGCACAATTCAATACCAGGTTGAAAGTGTTCAAAAGGCATAGAATATCATAATAGATATAAACATTCTAGTACAAGCTAGGAGTACAAGCTAGGAATCTAGCTTGTACTAGAATGGGAGATAAGAAAACGCGTCTGTTCTGAGCAACAAACCCTCAGGACCATCAACCTAACTCCAGTGGTGTTCATAGGGATGCATAGACCCTCCTCCAGGAACCCCCAAATTCCTGAGACCCCCTCCTCCTCCTACAGAAGCAGAAAGATCAGGGTCAGACCCTTCAGTTCCTCAATGCCCTGGAACCTGTGTAAAGAAGGAATAGACAAGATGTCGGTTGGAAACCCTTCGGCGCGCACTAGAGGTGAAAACCACACGCCAGAAAACGAGATGACGACAACGAAGACTCTGTCCATCCTGGACCATTATCAAGTCGATTATATCAAGTCATTACACTACAGGTGTCTAGGTGACGAAGTGGAAAAAAATGCTCAAAGAATAAAGCAGTTAGTCCAGATGGAGTTTCCACCTTGGTTCTGAAAGAATGCACTCCTGAACTCAGCATTCCACTTCAATTTTTCAGGCATCTCTGTGTACGCTTGGGTCAAGGAAACCCCCTGGGCCGGGCTTGGAAAGTAGAAGAACTTCCAGAAGCCCATCCAGGCACAAGAGTCCTAGCAGATGTGTGGAAATGGGTTAACATAGTTCCAATCTACAAAAGTGGCAGCAGGGAAGACCCCCCCCTCAATTATAGACCTGTATCATTGACAAGTGTAATAGTCAAAATATTGGAAAAATAATTAAAACTAAATAGGTTGAACATCTGGAGAAACAAGATAAAGACTATGATTTTTGGTCTGGAAGATCCTTTATAACAAATTTACTTGGCTTCTATGATCAAGCCAGAGATTTTACAGGAAGATCGTTGGGTTGACTGCATCTATCTGGACCTAAAAAAAAAAAAAAAATTGACAAGTCCCACACAAGAGGTTGTTCTGGAAACGAACATACTGGAGGATTGACAAGAAGGTTTCTAACATGGATGAAACATTTTCTGACAGAAAAATGAGGGTAGTAATCAAGAGACAATATATCTGACTGGAGAAATGTCACGAGTGGAGTACCACAGGGTTCAGTTCTTGCACTGATAATGTTCATTGTCTTTACAAACGACCTACGACAAGGCATACAGAATTACATGAACATTATTTGCTGATGCTGCTAAGATGTTAGGAAAGATGAGAAACTTAGACGATTGTCATTCCAGAAGACCTGGATCAAATTAGTGTATGGAGCACCACTTGGCAAATGGAATTTATTGTCAATAAATGCCATGTTATGGAATGTGGAATAGAACATTGACCCCACACAACATACAAATTATATGAAAAAGCTTTAAAAGCTTCTGATAAGGAAAGGGATATAGGGGTAGTTCGATAGTTTTCTATCACCTAAGGCCCACATACAGAATATTGTGCGAGGAGCCTATGTTATGCTTTCCAATTTCAGACTCGATTTTAAATTCATGGATGGAGGAATACTAAAGAAAATGTTTGTGACCTTTGTGAGACCAAGGTTCAAATATGCAGCAGTTGTATGGTGGTCATATCTTAAGCAGCACATCAACAAACTGGATAAGGTGCAAAGACATGCAACTAAATGGCTCTAGGAACTGAAAGACAAGATTTACAAGGAGAGGTTATTGGCATTAAATATGCCAAGACTAGAAGCTAGAAGAATGAGGTGATATGATCACTACATACAAAATAGTAACGAGAATCTATATAATAGGGAAGAATTCCTGAGACCTGGAATGCCAAGAACAAAGAGGTCATAGATTTAAACTGAAAAAAAAGTGCCAGACCAACGGCACTGTGGTAGGTATGTGGCCCTGCGGGCCGCTCCAAGCAACAGCCTGGTGGACCAAGCTCTCACAAGTCAAGCCTGGCCTGCGGGCCGCTCCAAGCAACAGCCTGGTGGACCAAGCTCTCACAAGTCAAGCCTGGCCTGCGGGCCGCTCCAAGCAACAGCCTGGTGGACCAAGCTCTCACAAGTCAAGCCTGGCCTGCGGGCTGCTCCAAGCAACAGCCTGGTGGACCAAACTCTCACAAGTCAAGCCTGGCCTCGGGCCTCTCCAAGCAACAGCCTGGTGGACCAAACTCTCACAAGTCAAGCCTGGCCTCAGGCTGGGCATGGGGAGTAAAAGAACTCCCAGAACCCCATCAACCAGGTATATGTGGGCCTGCGGGCCGCTCCAAGCAACAGCCTGGTGGACCAAACTCTCACAAGTCAAGCCTGGCCTCAGGCTGGGCTTGGGGAGTAGAAGAACTCCCAGAACCCCATCAAGCAGGTAAACTAACTAAATAAAGTTTCTGAAGAAATGAAAGAAAATTCACTTTTGCAGATGGTGGTAGACCGTTGGAACACGTTAAATAAGGTGGTGGTGGAGGACAAAACTGTTAAGTTTCAAAGCGCTATATAAGAGTGTTGGAAAAATAGGACACCACAAGCATAGCTCTCATCCTGTAACTACAATTTGGTAAAAAACAAAACTTGGGTAATTACAGTAATGATACAAGGTCGCGAAGGAAGGGAACACTAGGCTCCACCACAGTCACATCACCCGAGGGGGGAGCGGACTCTGAAGCCACTTCATGCGACCCCAACTCCAACAGTGTGGTTCTGTAACCTAAAGAAGCTTATGGGCTTGACTGAGGGATGCAAGCTAAGAAGCCAACCGAACTGGCCGCTCGGTGGTCAAAGTTAAAGGGGGAGGAGAAAGCCAGTAGGAACTTGGTGCATACCTGTATGTTAAAGATCATTCTTTTACAAGATCATGCTTTGTGGTACTGGCTGTTGGAGTCAGTCTGCATTATGTAGATATGCTGCCAGTCCCTTGACATTTTGAGGAAGATTTTGAATGTCTAATTTTGAGCACAAATAATTTCCTCATATAACGGCAAGGAATTGGCAGCAGTGCCACGCATTGCAACAGCTGGTACCGCAATGCATGATCTTGTAAAACAGCCGCTGCCTAACATACCAATGCCTTAGAAGGTGGCTCAAGACAAACAGTAGCTTGTCAGACAATTTCTACCCTCAGCTTTGTGCTGAGGGTATAAATTGTCCAAGAAGCTAAATAATTACTGTTGGCACAAAAAAGCAAGTAACAATGTTCAAAAACACTGAATCACTTGTTCAGACGCCAAGTTTCCCAGGGATGCCATAACAGGCTAAAAACATAGGCCCGATGAAAACCCCACAAGGGCAAGGAAAACTAGCTACCCAAACCAGCTTGTAGACAGGCAGACATGCTAGTGGCAAGGGAAGCAAGTTGACAGAACCATCCCTGAACTACTATAATCAGTAGGAAATGGTGTAGCCAATCCTGGGGAAAATGCAGCATTGAATGTAATAAAAATTCTTTCTATGCAAACCCTGTGCCTCCCTGAAGCCATCTTGCCGAGATGGCTCCTGACTACTAGGTCACATCAGCCATGGAGTTCTGTATGGCCTGCTGGGCATCAGCACTAGACACTGGCCCCCCTCATAGAGGTGCAGAGAGTAGGTGGCACTGCCACCCCTCATAGAGGTGCAGAGAGTAGGTGGCAATCTGCCACCCCTCAGAGGTGCAGAGAGCAGTGGGGTGGCACACTACCACCAGACTGGGAAAGCATCCATAATGTTGGCATGTTGGCATATCAATACAGACCACTGATGAGACCGACCTCTCAAAACCTTCAAATGAACTCTTTCTTCCTCCTCCCCCTCCCCCCAACAATGTAAACTAATCACATCTCGAAACAAGTACTCACTCGTTGGCACTATCTCCCTCCGATGCCTTCTTGTCTACTAATCACATGAGACCAGGAGGCATGACAGGATGTGCAGAATACCCATGTGTTTACTAGTTGTGTTTTGCGGGGGTTGAGCTTTGCTCTTTCGGCCCGCCTCTCTACTCTCAATCAACTGTTTACTAACTACTATTTTTTTTTTTTTTTTTTTTTTTTTTTTTTTTTTTTTTTTTACACCCCCCACACACACCCCAGGAAGCAGCCCATGACAGCTGACTAACTCCCAGGTACCTATTTACTGCTAGGTAACAGGGGCACTTAGGGTGAAAGAAACTTTGCCCATTTGTTTCTGCCTCGTGCGGGAATCGAACCCGCGCCACAGAATTACGAGTCCTGCGCGCTATCCACCAGGCTACGAGGCCCCATGTTGAAGAGCAGAGGTGCAATAGGTACTCCGAGAGAGAACTATTAACATCAGAAGCCTGAGACTGTTCAACACGCTTCCACTACACATAAGGGGCATAACTGGCTGACCTCTCAGTGTTCAAGAGAGAACTTGACAAGCACCTTCAAAGAATACCTGATCAACCAGGCTGTGATTCATATGTCAGGCTGCAAACAGCCGTGTCCAACAGCCTGGTTGACAAGACGACCAACCGGGAGGCCTGACCAGAGACTGACCCAAGGGGCTGTTGATCCTGGAAGCTACAAAAGATAACACCAGGGTCACATTTGTCGAAAGCATTTGCAAAATCTGTGTACAGTATATTACATCAGCGTTTTGTTAGTCTTCCATGGCATCAAAAGCCATGTCATATGGGTCTAGCACTTGAGACAGGATCATCCTGGTCTGAACTAATGGCCAGGGTTAGTAGACATTGTGATTCCATGTGTTATGTGACCTTACTTCTTAGAACTCTGTCAAAGATTTTTGTGATGTGCCATGTTAGAGCTATTGTTTATAATTGTTTTGCATCGGCTTAACTCTTCTTTGTGAAGTGGCGCAATCTCCGCTGTTTTAAGTATTTCAGGAATAACATCAATATCTAGACTCAAGTCTCCAAAAGATGGTTAGTGCCTGTGATAGTGGTTTTTTGTGATTCTTGATGGATACAGATTTCCAAGACTCTATGCCTGGTGCAGAGTGCATGGGCAGGCTGTCTATGGCTACTTCAAAATTGAGGAGTGGGTTTAGAGTGATGTCTGATGGTGGTGGTTCCATGGTGGTGTCACATTCATAAAGAATTCATTTGGATCATTGATCTACATTGTGTTCAGGGGTTCACTGAAATCAGAATCATACTGTAATCTCAGTACTGTATTTCACTCTTTTCTTTGCTGACATCTGTGAATCTGCACCCTTTGTCGGGCACAGAGTACGTTTTGGGAGTTTGTGGCTGTACTCGCCTGGTTGAGCTTCGGCTCTGGTCCTGCCTCTCGACTGTTGATCAACTGGTATACAGATGGCATGCGCTGTGAAAGATTGATCCCCTCGGTCTTCGTACTCTAACTCCATTCTGACTGTTCTACTATGGCTCGGTCTCAGTGAGGGTTCTCTCTTTGGACTCTTTCTTTTTTAGAGGTGGACACTTCAAGTGTCCAGACACACATCTGCTCGGTTCTCAGCGTTTCAGCTTTCCACACTGTTAATGTCCAGGAAGTGTCCAAAATTCTCGCACATGTCCTCATTCCTTCCTGTTTCCACGGAATGGATTGTTGATGCTGCCTCCTTCCTTTGGCTTTGAGAGACACACGGGCACCCAGATGTGGACCTGTGTGTTGGCATGGAATTAATGCCTTCCTTTGTACCTGGGCATTTTTCTATGGCTTTATGGTGAGCAATGATGGTGATTTTGGTGTCCTTTCTACATTCTTCTTCTGGGTGGTAGTATGAGGTTTTGTGGTGCTCTTAACACCACCCTCTTTATTTCCCTTCTTTTGAGTGTCTCTTTTGAGTGTGGGGTGCTCTCCTTTTTCTTGATTGGTATCTCGTGTTAAATGCTGTCACTTCATATCGTATGGCACTGGGGGAGTCACTAGTGCTTGCGTTCAGTGTTATTACAAGGTGCCATTTTGTGGGCTCTCTCTCTCACTGTTTCACCTCCAGCCGGCTCGTGTGCCTTCTGGGTCAGCCTGGACCCTGTGCTGGCTTTTCTTTCCTCTTCTCATTTCAGTGTCCCCTTTGGTATTCCTTTTCTAAGGCTCATTTTTGGTTTCTCTTATCTTTGTTGGGTTGGGAACCTTCATGCTCTCCTATAGACGTGGGGGGGGGGGTTGTTCCTTTGGCCCTAGGAAATGTTTCTTTACAGCCAGCTCCTCTTGTGGCAGAGAGAAGAGTTGATTGGCTTTTGGTGAGGTCCTTTGGTCATCGATGGTTCGTTTGGCAGCAGGTGCATCATATGTTGTGGTGTTTCCTGTGGTGTTTCTCTGCCACTACTTTCATGCCACTGATTCTTCTTTGGTGGATGCCTTGAGTTAATCCTCTTTCTTTGGTTCCATGTTCAAAGGCTCATATTTGCAAGGTTGTCTGCAGTGTCATAAAGTCTAACCAGCCTGCAGTCCATGCTCGTTGTGCAGTCCACAACATCGGAAATATGCTGCTCTTGTGGGCTGAATTAGGGCGTGGGGGACTTTGAAGGTCATACAGGGTTCTGGCGGCCCAGTATTTGGTGAATATGCCTGGGCCTCTGCATTCATGTGTGGACTTAGGTAGTCTTATCCCGTCTCTCTCAGCGGGGGAGTCTCGTCCTTGTCCTGATTCTTGTGGTACTCCCTGGTAAGTTCCCATGTTTTCTCTGTGGGTAGTTAGCTTCAGGGAGCTACAAGGGATCTCCCCCACCCAGAAAGCCAGCAATGAATTTAGTGAGATTCGAATTTCTGGGTGAGCCCCAGTGGGTCTCTGGTCCCCCTTCCTCCCTCCCTTTCCTGTTGACGATCTGGATGCTTACGTCTGCCCTAGAACTTAGCTTGGGGAGGCTGACTAGCAGCCAGCTGCCTTCTCACTCCTCAAGGGAATGGGGGAAGTGTAGTAAACAAACTCGCTGTAATTCCGGGAGTTCTAGCTCATTTGTTTACATAGTTGGGGGGAGTTCTTGATCATTTGTTTACATAGTTGGGGGGGAGTTCTTGATCATTTGTTTACATAGTTGGGGGGAGTTCTTGATCATTTGTTTACATAGTTGGGGGGGAGTTCTTGATCATTTGTTTACATAGTTGGGGGGAGTTCTTGATCATTTGTTTACATAGTTGGGGGGAGTTCTTGATCATTTGTTTACATAGTTGGGGGGAGTTCTTGATCATTTGTTTACATAGCTGGGGGGAGTTCTTGCTCATTTGTTTACATAGTTGGGGGGAGTTCTAGCTCATTTGTTTACATAGTTGGGGGGAGTTCTTGATCATTTGTTTACATAGTGGGGGGGGGAGTTCTTGATCATTTGTTTACATAGTTGGGGGGGAGTTCTTGATCATTTGTTTACATAGTGGGGGGGGAGTTCTTGATCATTTGTTTACATAGTGGGGGGGGAGTTCTTGATCATTTGTTTACATAGTGGGGGGGGGAGTTCTTGATCATTTGTTTACATAGCTGGAGGGAGTTCTAGCTCATTTGTTTACATAGTTGGGGGGAGTTCTTTTGGCCAGTTTTGATATTTTGGTCTTTCTTGAATCCAGCAGTGGTTTTTGACTGTTTTTGTGGATGCCTTCCCCAGTGTGGGGGTGAAAATAAATGCCTTCACCTCTCTGAGGGAAGCATGGGGAAGGGTTCTGGCTCCGGTTCCTGGTAGACCTCTAGAACTCGACGGCTGACATGACCCAGTAGATGGTAACCATCTTCGTGTATAACTTCAGGGAGCTACAGGGGCTCGCCGAGAAATTGGCATTTCATTACATTCAACGTTGGTTTTATATTAATTGTAGCTTGTAATTACTAAGTAATGCATGTTAAACGTACTGTAAAATTTATATTTCTTTAATTTTTTAAATATATTATTCAAATACAACATACAAATATTGTTATAATGTACCGAGACCAGATATTGGAGTTGTAAATACTCAATGTGAAATTTTGCAGATCGAGACGTGGTCGATACATGGATGAAGTCTAATGACAAAGATTCTTTGACCATGGCGCGTAGGTTGATAAAGGAAGAGGGCCTCTTGTGTGGTAAGATATTTAAACTTGCGTAAGTTTGATACAAAATGATAGGAGAGCTAGAAAGCTAATTATATGTAATTACAGAAGTTCATGAATGTTTTTGGTACAGTTGAGTTAGTAGTAATATAGCAATGTATTTAAACTATATTATGCTTTAGGGCAGTTACTATAGATAGATATATAAACTTTGATGACATTTAATGTAATAAGAATATTTAAATTCGTTGTGATAAGGAATTCTCCGACTTGTTAAATCTGCATGGAACAGATGTGTTGCTTTGTAGTTAGATTAAGTGTATCTTGAGGTTATCTTGAGATGATTTCGGGGCTTTAGTGTCCCTGCGGCTCGGTCTTTGACCAGGCCTCCACCCCCAGGAAGCAGCCCATGACAGCTGACTAACACCCAGGTACCTATTTTACTGCTAGGTAACAGGGGCATAGGGTGAAAGAAACTGTCCATTGTTTCTCGTCGGTGCCTGGGATCGAACCCGGGACCACAGGATCACAAGTCCAGTGTGCTGTCCGCTCGGCCGACCGGCTCCCTGTTGTAGTTGGCAATATTGAAGTGATTGAGATACTGTAGGATTAAACTTTGTTTTTGAACCAAAAATATCTGATAGGGATGTCATATGCTTTGTCCTTGGGAGGAGTCACGTTGGTTTGCTTCACATGTCCTTGTACAGGATCATACAGTCACCACAGGGAATTTTCGAACATGCTTGTAGGGTCACTTTAGATGCTAGCGAGGCACTAGAGAATGTTTTATAATAGAGCTCCGAATGGATGACAAAAGGTCAGTTAATACTTCTAAATCCACTTATTCGTATAACTAATACGAGTTAAATATATTATTTGAATGATAAAATGTATTGTTTTTGCTTTTATTACACTATATACATAGGTTATATATAACTACCTACGTTTTTGTGCACTATAATGAAGTACCAAGTTGTTCAGGGGAGTGTAAAGACAATTGCCCCGTCATATGCTAGTCGGCTGATTACGTCCTCTTACTCGGCAATGTTCCTCCTCCTAACATACTACTCACAGTGCCAATTCTAGGCACAATGCTGCTATTATCAGATTCCTGGTCACTAAATCCTGAAAATGAATAATTTTTCACAAGTTTATTTTCTAAAGGAACATGAGCTGTTGTTTTAAAATGCTTAAATGCATCAAACAATGGCAGTGTGCTGTGGCTGTGCATCACACTGTGAACATCATAAACAGCATTGTGTTCACTACACAGAGAAATCGCATTAACGTGATATGTTGATGAACAAATCCAACAGGAGTCTTGATGAGGGTTTGAAGCTATGCAGTCGACTAGAGCTTGTGTCTGGGAACACCCAGCGCATAGTTTTGAATCCTCATCAAGGCTCCTGTTGGATTTGTTCATTGTGTTCAGTAATATCTGAACATTGTACATGGTCTTTATCACAGGATCTTCTGTGATCACAAAATAGTTAAGGGTCCCAGTATCACATTTGGATTTGCTCTTGACGTACAATCAAGAATTCCGGGTTCAAATCTCGGGCGGGACAGAAATGGTTGGGTACATTTCCTTTCACTTAATGCGTCTGTCCACCTAGCAGTAAGTAGGTACTCGGGAGTTAGTTAGCTTGTTGTGGGGGTTGTGTCCTGGGTGTAGTCAGTAATTTGACCTTTGGGGGGGGGGTGACCTCAATATAAGCCTAAGATGTGCATAACTTGGGAGCCGGTCGGCCGAGCGGACAGCACGCTGGACTTGTGATCCTGTGGTCCCGGGTTCGATCGTGGGCACCGGCGAGAAACAATGGGCAGTTTCTTTCACCCTATGCCCCCTGTTACCTAGCAGTAAAATAGGTACCTGGGTGTTAGTCAGCTGTCACGGGCTGCTTCCTGGGGGTGGAGGCTTGGTCGAGGACCGGGCCGCGGGGACACTAAAGCCCCGAAATCATCTCAAGATAACTACTGTACTGTACAATAGATTCATCATCTCCTAGAACATATTTAAGCTGTTCTTGAATTTCTTGTTTGTTTATATTAAAATAATGCAGGGAACACTTAAAAGGGTTTAGTTTGGGAAGGTTTGATTGCTTGTTGTTATTGATGTTCATAAAGTGACTAAATCCCTTGTTATTAGGTGGCAGCAGTGGAGCTGCTGTGCACGCAGCAATGGTAGCAGCAGCAGACCTTGAAGCTGGCCAGCGGTGCGTTGTTCTTCTGCCTGACTCTGTACGGAATTACATGACCAAACACCTTTCTGATCATTGGATGATAGAGAGGGAATTCATCAAGGAGGATGAGGATACGGAAAATAAACATTGGTTAGTTTTTTGCTCTTAATTTTTATTCATCGTTAGTTATTAAAATTACCTATAGATATTCATGCGTGTCTGCCTATGCATACAAAAATGGGAACAATTTTAAGAAATGTATTTTTCTTTATAGAATGATTAATTAGGATGTAAAATATAAGGAAAAGTTGATATAATGTAAATATATCTATACTGAGGCTAATGGATGCCTACTGTTAAATGAATGGAGGTTAGATGAGGTGTATAAGGGTACCTCAGTTTAAGAATTTAATCCATTCCTGGAGACAGTTCGTAAACTGAAGCGAATTTCCCCATAAGAAATAATGGGAAAGGAATTAATCAGTTCCTGACTCCCCAAAAACTTCACTTCAAAGTAAATTTTATACCTAATTCATCCAAATCTTCACTAAAAAAGTATGTTAGAGTTATTACTTACCCTTGCTGATGACTCCTGTTGGCGTATGGAAGATGAAGAGGGGGAACCCTTGTTTATGACTCCTGTTGGCGTGTGGAAGATGGTGAAGAGGGGTAACCCTTGTTGATGACTCCTGTTGGCGTATGGAAGATGGTGAAGAGGGGGGAACCCTTGCTGATGACTCCTGTTGGCGTATGTTGAGGTGGCGCTTAGACAGCAACGCCATCTATGGAGCGGATAGGTGGACGTTTGTGTCTAAGCCTGTGAGTGAGGTGCCCTAGAGTGTCATCAGTACTAATGACGTGTCTGATTACAGAGTCGACCTGGGACTGCTGTATTGGACGTTGGATGAGTCTACCCAAGGCAGCCATAGTATCTCCACGTGTTTGCTGCAGCAGCTGTGAGTCACCCCCGGATGAACACTGTTGTGTTAGCCTGCCTGTGAGGTGGCAGAACCAGGAATTGTCGTACCTGGGGCTGACTGGTGGAGAAGACTAGCCACTGGGGTGTTGTTGAGAGAGGAGAGTGATCTGTGGAATCACACGAGGCTCCTGCCTAGGGCTCGCAACCCTAGTATCGGTCGTGGAGTGGCCTATGCAGCAGAGCTGATTGGAACCTGCCAGCTACAGGCTGGATTTGTGGTTGAAGGCCTCCACGACGGTGCACCCAGTGGGACTGTGATTTGGCTGGCCTGTGGCCAGGGTAGACTCGCCGAGGGAATCGACGGATTCATCGTGAGGCCACAAGAAGAAAACCAGGGCTACTCGTCTTGAGCACCGTGGAACATTCCGCGTCTTCAGAGGAAGACGATTCTGCACATTGAATATTTATACCCCCCGTGTCAATTATGTTACGGCCCTATTGGGTCGCAACTGGGTTCTTTCTCTGATGTTAGTAGAGTTTGGGTATCCGGCCCCAAGTTAGTAGTGGCTTTCAAGGGGTGTGTTCCGTAACGCAAGTAAATTAAAGGGGAAGGGATACAAATACACTAAATTAAATATATAATTACCACCACCAATAAATAAATATATATACTGTCACACGGGGGGTATAAATATTCAATGTGCAGAATCGTCTTCCTCTGAAGACACGGAATGTTCCACGGTGCTCAAGACGAGTAGCCCTGGTTTTCTTCTTATGGCCTCACGATGAATCCGTCGATTCCCTTGGCGAGTCTACCCTGGCCACAGGCCAGCCAAATCACAGTCCCACTGGGTGCACCGTCGTGGAGGCCTTCAACCACAAATCCAGCCTGCAGCTGGCAGGTTCCAATCAGCTCTGCTGCGTAGGCCACTCCACGACCGATACTAGGGTTGCGAGCCCTAGGCAGGAGCCTCGTGTGATTCCACAGATCACTCTCCTCTCTCAACAACACCCCTGTGGCTAGTCTAATCCACCAGTCAGCCCCGGGTACGACAATTCCTGGTTCTGCCACCTCACAGGCAGGCTAACACAAGTGTTCATCCGGGGGTGACTCACAGCTGCTGCAGCAAAAACGTGGAGATACTATGGCTGCCTTGGGTAGACTCATCCAACGTCCAATACAGCAGTCCCAGGTCGACTCTGTAATCAGACACGTCATTAGTACTGATGACACTCTAGGGCACCTCACTCACAGGCTTAGACACAAACGTCCACCTATCCGCTCCATAGATGGCGTTGCTGTCTAAGCGCCACCTCACCAGAGGTCAGCAGCGGCTATGTCACGAGCTGATTAAGGCGGGAAACCAGCCCCTGTGGCCGGTATATCTCGTCCTCACTAGATGGCATCGTCCATTTGGAGGGGGTTTCGGGAGCTGACCCACCGATGGCGTGGTCGTCACAGCTCCGTGCTACGACGCTGGACTCGGGTCCGTAACAGGAAGATGGAACACTATGAGCATAGCTCTCAACCTGTAACTACACTTGGGTAATTAGTTGGGGAAAAGGGTCCTTCTGGCTCTTTGGTGGCTGTCTCTGCCTTAGGTTCCGGCACTTGTCCTGTTGTTTAAGCCACGGCACTTTTCTGTGGCTCTGCCTCTATGAGCAGATCATTCCAGCAATGTACTTCACTAGTTTAATTTTCTCCTCTGCCCTACGTATCTGGAGTTTTGATGTTGATTTATTACCGTTTGTACGGTGAGCAGGTTGCTGGTGTCCCACCTGCATCTGTTTTCATGGCAGCAGTATGAGATTCCCTGGAGCATATTTGCTTGTCTTGTCTTAATTTGGTTTTGGTCAGGGTGGTCCTGCCTTTATCATAGTTCTCTCTCAATCAGCATCTGGTGCCAAAGGGTAAAAAGTAATAGTAATATATAACCCCCACCAAATGACAGAAGACACAGACAAAAATATGATAGAAACAACATGCGTGCCATTAATATAATGGGGAAAGCCGCAGCTGTCACTGGCAGGAACCGATCCAGACTGTTAGTCAAGGGAGACTTGAACCATGTGAAGATTGTGTGAGAACAGTGAGCCATATGGAGGACCAGATAACTGGAGAGCTGAGCTACTGGATGTGGCAATGGGACACTTCCTAAGTCTACATGTCAAGGGACCCAGGGACCAGGGACCCCCATCAACCAGGTATCCACAATAATGAGGAGGAGAACGAGGAACCAGCTAGACTCGATCTGATATTCACCCTGAATAAGTTGGACATAAGGGAAGTTAAATTGGAAGCCCCCATGGGAATAAGTGAGCACATTGTACTGTCATTTGAGTATTTGGTGGAGTTTGGGGTAATCTCCAAAAAAAGACCAGGAAGCAAAGGGCTGGCATACCGAAAGGGAAACTATGAGATGAGAAAATACATAACAGAACTCGGAGTAAAGACTGTACAAGACCTGTTGGACAGTCGCACAAAAGTGTCAGGAGTTCGTAAATAAGTTTATCCTAGCCCAGAATGAAAAGAATGAAAGCAAAAGTGCAATCCATGGTTTAATCAGGAATGTGAGAAAGCAAGGCAATACAAGGGGGGGTGGAGGAAATGCAGAAATAAGTGTCAGAGTAGAGGGAGACACCAAAGACGCCAGGAATAAATATCTTGCTGTGAGAAAAGCAGCAGAGATGGTATAAAAATGACTTTGCAAATAAAACCAAGACTGATCCAAAACTGCTCCACTGTCCTATCAGGAGGAAAGCAGCAGTGAAAGAAAAGGTGAAGAAGCTGTGGACAGGTACTCAGAATGACAGAAGTGTGTGAGAGGAACTCAACATGACATTCCAGGTCATCTTCACAGTTGAGCGACGAGAAGTCCCTGAACTAAGAGAAGTGGGAACAAACCAGGCAGCTTTGGAAGGGATCGAAATTACCAGAGATGAAGGTAGGAGGTATCTTTTGGATCTGGATGTGAGGAAGGCTGTTGGACCTGATGGGATCTCTATTTCTTATCTTGAGGTCATCTCGAGTTGATTTCGGGTCTTAGCGTCCCTGTGGCCCGGTCCTCGACCAGGCCCCCTTTCTGTTACACACCCCCGGCAAGTAGCCCGTAGCAGCTGTGTACCTAGTTACTTCTAGGTGAAGTGGGGCATCAGGGTGAAAGAAACTGCCCATTTGTTTCCGCCTCCACCGGGGATCGAACCTGGAACCTCACGACTACGAATCCCAAGCGCTGTCCACTCAGCCGTCAGGCCCCTGTATCCATGGATATCCATGTATACTACTGTGCAGAAGCACTTTGCTTGTCACTCGCCATGATGTAAAATAATTTACTGGAAACAGGAGACTTGCCAGAAATGTGGAAAACAGCTAATGTAGTCCCAATATACAAAAAAAGCAACAGGCAAGAGTCACTGAACTACAGGCCAGTGTCCCTAACTTGTGTAATTTGTGTGCTCGTAATTCCCAGATTCTCATAATTCAAATCCTTGCCAGCCTACAGTCTACCCTCGGCTCTACAATTTTTGCAAGTACACTGCCTTGGCAGCGGTCTTCTCTGACATTCAGGCTTGAGGATTTTGGCAGTCTAGCAGAGTTTTGATGGCCCAGTATTTGGGTAATGTCCCTGGTCCCAGTCAGTTGTACATTTCTTGGGCTGCTTTTCCTGGCCTTGGTTCTCTGTCTTAGTACCTGTCGCCTCTCCTTCTCACTGGTAAATACCAAGATTTTGTTCTCCATGGTTAGTGTCAGAGAGCCACCAAGGGGGTCCCCTTTCCCCCCCCCCCCAGAAACCTGTTGTTGAAACCCGGTGTGTTGAATAATATGCCTCATTCTGGTTATCCTGGTTAGGGAGCCGGTCGGCCGAGCGGACAGCACGCTGGACTTGTGATCCTGGGTTCGATCCCAGGCGCCGGCGAGAAACAATGGGCAGAGTTTCTTTCACCCTATGCCCCTGTTACCTAGCAGTAAAATAGGTACCTGGATGTTAGTCAGCTGTCACGGGCTGCTTGCTGGGGGTGGAGGCCTGGTCGAGGACCGGGCCGCGGGGACACTGAAAAAAAGCCCCGAAATCATCTCGAGATAATATCTTGGTGGCTCCCTGATTGCCTCTTATCCTCCAGGTTTGCTAGAGGGTTGTTCATTAGCTCCAAAAGTGATCAGGGGATTGTTGTTGTTGTTAAAGATTCGCTACTTGGAACAAAGTTCCAAGTAGCACGGGCTATGGTGAACCCGTATTGCCTTGTGATCAGGGGAGCTGGGCCACCCAGTAGCAACTATTGGTACTAATGGACTCGATCATTTTGAGTGAGTCTTCTTTCATTTTAATCATTTGCGGAGCTGTTTGGTGGTTTCTAGGCTTTGTTTTCTGTAAAGGTTTACTGACTTTTTAAATGTTTACCCGGTGGGGTGACAGATTATCACTTGCTCCCTGCGCCCTTGAGGAGGGACTCAAGTTTTCTCTGGTCCCCGAATGGCTAAATAGAACTCTTGCGACTTAAGTGATGCATTAGAATGTAGCACTCTCAGTGAAACAACTTAAGGGAACAACTGTGGCTCTACCAGAAAGACATATTTCATTATATGGGTTTATGCCCCTGCCTCCTAGCTGTTTATATCCAACTCTCAAAATTACCTCTCAACATTAACATTATCATAGTTTCTCTTAACAGTGTGGATGGAATTGGCTTGAAATGTCAACCTCGTCCTTCAGTGCGTTCATCTTGCCGACCACCCAGACAGGAGAACGAGATCTGTCACATCCCATTGACTCGATTGTTTGACCAGCTTGCTCTGATGGGCCCTTGTCTTACATCTCTCTAATTTCAATAACTTCCTCTTTTCATTTAGTTCATTTCCCTCAGGATCTTTTATGTAATAATCATATCCCATCTGTTTCTTCTCTCCTCAGAGTTGTGAGGGCAAGTTCCCTCAACCTGTTGTCATAGCCGAAGCCTCTCAATCTGGTACTAATCTCAAACCTGTGTAATTTATCAAGTTTGTTTCATAAGGCATGTGTTGCATGCTGGTGAAGTATACTCGAGTAATGATCTTGCATAGGAAGTGTGTGTGGACTTAAGCGCCTCCTCGTTCAGATTCTTCAATGATATTTTTGTTTGCTAACTTCCCATATACCTGGAGAGGGTTCTGGGAGTTGTTCTACTCCCCGAGCCCGGCCTGAGGCCAGGCTTGACAGATTATGCAGGCGATGAGTCACAATAACGTGGCTGAAGTATGTTGACCAGACCACACACTAGAAGTTGAAGGGACGACGACGTTTCGGTCCGACCATTCTCAAGTCGATCAAGTCAATACAATCAACTTGAGAATGGTCCAGGACGGACCGAAACGTCGTCGTCCCTTCAACTTCTAGTGTGTGGTCTGGTCAAAATTGACAGATTATGTCAATAATCTGCTACTGTTGTTGTCCTGTTTACTGGAGTATCTGGTGTTAATGTTGGGAATGTGTCTAAATCTTGGGTCTTTCTCTTGTTTCCTATAATTGCCTTACCCCTTGTGCTGGTGGTTGATACAATTCTCCTCTCCCCCTTACTCATTTTCATTATTTATTTTGATTGACTTCCAGCAGCCATTTTTCTGCCCACTCCTGAAGCCTGTCAAGGTGTAGAGGTATCTCGGTGCAGCTAGTTAAAACGAGACACCGAGGTACCCCCCAAGACAGAAGTGTTTCATTGCCTTTAATACTAATTTTGTCACAAGTACAATATATTTATTAAAGTTCTTTTTATCTTCTCTTGTGACAACAGGTGGTCTTCCCTGAAGGTATCATCACTGCCCTTATCAGCACCTTTAACAGTGCTACCATCCATCTCGTGTCAGGATGCCATTGCCATCATGCAACGTGAGGGATATGACCAGTTGCCTGTTGTTGACCAAGAAGGGTAAGAAATCCTGTTAACTATTTGTTTAGCATTCTCAGAAATACCACTACGGGCTCACCATAGCCCGTGCTACTTGGGACTTTTTGTTCCAGGTAGCGAATCTTAAACAACATCATCATCAACTCAGAAACATTAGATCAGCTATTTTATATTTTGCCTTAAAAGTGTGGAGTTCCCACTAAGTAATAGTAACGGGAATCAATCATATTGATAGGGAAGAATTCCCGAGACCTGGAACTTCAAGGACAAGAGGTCATAGATTTGAACTAAGTAAGCCTATTCAATTCTTTCCTTTTGCTATACAGTACTGTGTAGTCAGTGGAAGACTTGAATAGCCTTGCTGTGCCACCCTCTGTAATGTTTTATTCCCACCGAGGCAATATTGTGTTCTTTCCATCTATATTATTCAAAATAGTGACCCAAACAAATTTCATAGTAACTAAACTAGTGCTGTACCTCTGCCATCCACCAAACTAGTGGGCCTTTGAACTTGTGTAGGCCTCCTGGAGCCGGTCGGCCGAGCGGACAGCACGCGGGACTTGTGATCCTGTGGTCCTGGGTTCGATCCCAGGCGCCAGCGAGAAACAATGGGCAGAGTTTCTTTCACCCTATGCCCCTGTTACCTAGCAGTAAAATAGGTACCTGGGTGTTAGTCAGCTGTCACGGGCTGCTTCCTGGGAGTGGAGGCCTGGTCGAGGACCGGGCCGCGGGGACAATAGAGCCCCGAAATCATCTCAAGATAACCTCAAGATAACAAGGCCCAGAATCTGGTATACTCGTATTATTGAAACGAGCGGTTATTACAGTGAGGGGAGCATTAGTATCCAAGATCAACATAAAACAGTAGAGCTTCCCAGAAGGTACATGCGAAGCAAAACAAACTAAAACAGTAAAGGAAGCTAAACATTGCAGCAACCATGACAAAACAAACATTAGGCGGGAAGTCAGAAGGAATTGGTATCTAACCCAAATTGGTGCAAAACAGTCGATCGTAGTAAGTCCCTATTAATATTTGGTTGCAAAGAAAAGGAGATAACATTTAGGTCAGAAAGATCCGTAGAAGAGAAAGTAGTAGATAAAATTGTTGGGCTAGTGGAAGGTCTTACAACCAAAAAGAATGTCTGTAACTACAGGAGAATTGGCAGGTATGAAAAAGGAAAAGATCGACCCTTTAGGCTCACCCTGAGCAGTGCTAAACAGATGGAAGAAGTACTAAGAAATGTTACGAAATTACAGAGTGACGAGGAAGGGAAATTCTGGTCATTGAGATGAGATCTTTCAAAAGACAGAGAAGCTAAAACTAAACCTCGTCGAGGCAAAACGTCTAAATGATAGCAGGAACGAAGAAGAAATCAATTTATACTAAGTGATAGGGGTAGGCAAGCCAGTAAAATGGTACAAAAAGGCAAACCAACAAAATCACTAGAGAAAGTGGTGGTGAAGGATAAGGAGAGAGGGAACATGTTCCTGAAATTTATAGTAATTTCAAAGTGTTATATGACAAGAGTGCTGGGAAGACGGGACACCACGAGCGTAGCTCTCATCCTGTAATTACACTTGGGTATTTACCTCACGAGCACACACCCTACACCCTGTGTAACCATCTAGTTGTGCCTGCGGGGGTTGAGCTCTGGCTCTTTGGGCCTGCCTCTCAACTGTCAATCGACTGATTTTTTTTCAACTCCTTACCAGTCTCTTCTACCATCACCCTAGAAGTAGCAGGAGCTGCTGCTAGACTGTTGGTCAAAGAGGCTGCTTAATCAGTGTGTGATAAATGCTGAGCATTATTAGAGGTAAACATGTCTTTCCTGCTTAAGGCAGTAATTAACACAGTAATTAACTCAAACAAATATTGAATAAATCCACAAAGGGATTAAATCTACTTATGTCTAGGGTGATCCCAGACGATGATCAATATCACGCTATTGTGATTTGTGTGTATTGAAGTAAGGGCGAAGAGGTAGAATAGCGTGTTGACAGAGCCAGAGTGCATTGGGGAATTGTATAAAACCCTGGTTTGTCTCGGAGAGGCTGCGGGATCCGTGTGAGAGCAGTTGCAATTCTTTTGACCATGTCTTGACTCAGTCGACTGAGGTAGCGTCTGGGATCATCCCGGACGTAAGTTCAAACCTTCATCACGGCCCTCGTGGATTTATTCATTTGATATATCACGCAATTGATTTCTGTGTATGCAAACAGATCCCGCCAAACACACATCGAAACTACGATGTTGGTACAATGTTCAAACAAGTTTTAACACCTCCTAACCAGTTATAACAACCAATATAGCAAGTTGTAACAACGTTCTAATACGTCATAAACACGTTAAGCCAAGATGTAACAACTTTATTACAAGTTGTAACAAGCGGAAAATAGACAGTTACGGTTTGTTTCCAGGGATATTACCTTGAGCATATATTTGTTGCCTTTAGAATTTAAATTTATGTATAATGAGACAATTCCAAATGTTTTCAAAATTCAATCATCATTTCATTAGCAACATTGTTAAACCATTCCTGTATTTTGTATTTCAGGATGATTCAGGGAGTTGTGACCCTAGGTTCCCTCATGGCCAAAATGGTGTCGTCAAAGATTGAAGGGTCGAGCCCTGTGGAACATTCTCTGTATTCACAGTTCCGTAAGATAAAGTTGGATACGACGTTGGCCAAGTTATCTCGTATCCTAGATCGTGACCACTTCGCTCTTGTTGTTCACACCCAGCGTCTCTGTAAGTACATATTTCATTAATACAGCACTTGAGTCTGCACTCACTCACTTGCTTGCACTCACTCACTTGCTTGTCGTTGAAAACATCTGCAGATGTGTGTTATTTCCCATAAACCCTGATGTCAAACTAGTGATAAGAATTTGTTTTCATATATATATTTTAGTGGATTTGCAGGCGATGAGTCACAATAACGTGGCTGAAGTATGTTGACCAGACCACACACTAGAAGTTGAAGGGACGACGACGTTTCGGTCCGTCCTGGACCATTCTCAAGTCGATTGTGACAATCGACTTAAGAATAGTCCAGGACGGACCGAAACGTCGTCGTCCCTTCAACTTCTAGTGTGTGGTCTGGTCAACATACTTTTAGTGGATTTGTTGTGTTGTTTTTCTGGGAGGGCTCCATAGTGGCTTCCCTGTTGTTAGCTGCCCGATTGACTCCACGTAATTCAACTCATTACTTTCGAGTTGTTAAAATCTACTGGGGACCAGAGGAGAATATCTGGACCCCTCACAGTGGTACAGAGTGGGGACTCTTGATCATCTTAAGAAATAAGCCATCAGAAAGTTAAGAGCAAAACAAAGCAGACAAAAGTGAGGCAAATCTAAACAACTCTTGAAAATGGTCTGCACAGTAATTAGGTTAGTCACCCATTAGTAACGTCTACCCCCTGATGTCGCAGGTGGCAGCACCAAGTGATAGATCAGCTGGTCCAATCAGTCATTTGCCTGGTATGCTACTATTCACTACTGCTACTAAAATCGCCTTGGTCCTTAGTCTTGTTTTTTTCTCTAAGTGTTAACCATCCTTTAAACTGTCCCCTGCATGTCTTAACGAGCCTCACTTATTATGTGACCTGAAGAAAATGTTCTCTCTTGAGCTATATAGGCATAGGGTTACCTTTCCTGGGCACTCACTGGTGTTGTCCCTGCCCTGTCTGAGTTACCTTCCCATGTGGGTTCGTGTGTGTGTGTGTCTCCGAGAGTGCCAGCCTCCTGTGAAGGATGCTTCACCTTGGGTAGTGCACAGATCTATGACTCCTCCGAGGCTCTCAGTTGAGGGCAGTTTGAGTCATCTTTGGGATGTGAAGGAGTTTGCATTGTTTTAGTGTGTTCGATGTCTGTTCTTCTTAGTGAGCAGCTCTTACACCTGTTGTCCTTGCTTGGTTTTCACCTTCAGAGCCAGGTAAACATCCAGTCTTTACTGTGGTTTGGGAGTGACTGACCTGCCAATTCCGCATTAGCTGGGTACGAATTTAAGGGATGCACGCTGGTTTTGTTACATGCTAGCTATTCTTACTGCCTCCATCATTCCACCTGTTGGATGAGTGATACCTTCTACCCTGAGGTCTGCAATGTGTGTCACAGGACCGGAGGCGAGTTCAGTTTTTCGGGTGTTCCCGATTGGTGCCTTGTTCGTGCCACTTGAAGCTTGTCCATTTATTCTAATCCTACTCTGGGATGAGAAAGTGGGGCGGTGCCATAGGAGATTACCTTTGCTCTCTGGACCTAGGCCATGGAGGATCACAGAGGCAATCTTTGGCTTGCAGCATTTGAGTGGTTCTCGGATCAACTCCATGGTGGCTTGGAGTTCTGGGTTTCTGTGCCAGGAATTGTGGCCTGGTTGCCTGCAGTTGTGACTTGAAAAGTAATGCCCAAGTTGGTCACTCTTCTCCTTCAGGTGGTGGTAGTGATCTTCTTGGCTTAATTAGCATGCCAGTATGGTGTTGGTTCATGCTGGGGGTTGTGCTTGTTCTCGTCATATTGTCCGCTAGGGGCCCTGACAGCTGAGTGGACAGCGCTTTGAATTCGTTGTCCTGAGGTTCCGGGTTCGATCCCCGGCAGAGGCAGAAACAAATGGGCAGTTTTTCTCACCCTGATGCCCTTGTTCACCTAGCAGTAAATAGGTACCTGGTAGTTACACCTGCTGCAGGCTGCAGGGACGCTAACCCCCGAAATCATCTCAAGATAAGAAGATAGGGCTGGTTATGGGTAGTTGACTGTGACCAGAGGACCATGTGTGTCGCTTTCCAACTTCAGAATTGCTGTTATATACATGGATGGGGAAATATTATAAAAAAAAATACAGAAGATTGGCGGGCCCAAAATTGGAATATACATTGGTTGTATGCTACCCTTATTTTAACCATGTCGGTAAGCTGGAAAAAAGTTTAGACATGCTACAAAATGGCTTCCTTATAAACATGAGCTGCAAGAAGAGGCTAGAGGCTTCCAAAGCTAGAAGATGGAAGGAGGAACTATAATCACTACGTACAAAACAGTAACAGGAATTGATAAAATTGACAAAGGCATTCTTAAAACTGGCAACTTAAGAAAACCAAAGGTCATATATTCAAGTTAAGGAAACCATGGTGCCAGAAAAATAGTTGAAAGTTCTCCTTTGGAAACAGTGTGGGAGATGGTTGGAACAAGTTAAGTGAGAAGTTGGTGCATATCTTGAGGTTATCTTGAGATGATTTCGGGGCTTTAGTGTCCCGGCGGTCCGGTCCTCGACCAGGCCTCCACCCCCAGGAAGCAGCCCGTGACAGCTGACTAACACCCAGGTACCTCTTTTACTGCTAGGTAACAGGGGCATAGGGTGAAAGAAACTCTGCCCATTGTTTCTCGCCGGCGCCTGGGATCGAACCCGGGACCACAGGATCACAAGTCCAGTGTGCTGTCCGCTCGGCCGACCGGCATGCTAAGAGCATCAGTAGTTTGAAAGCATCATGACAGTAATGGTGTGATTGGATCACCACAAACATAGCTCTCATTTTGTAACTACAATTTAGGTAATTACCATGCTCCAGCTCCATTCTGAATGCTTCCAAGTGGTTCATTGCTTGAATCACAGGGGGATATATGGTAAATTCTCCTTTGGAGATGGACTTCTAACGTTAGTTTAAGTATATGTTCTTGGGTGACAAGACTCGTTAGAGTTTGGTGGTTTTATATGTTTATTTAATATAATCTTGGTTACATCTGTCGGTTGTTGTAGATATAATGTCGTGATAGCCGAGACAAGGCTTGGAGCAGAGCTTGAGTGAGGCCGGTGATAGAGAGCTTGGATGCATGGTAATTAGCTCGGGCGCGGGGCGAGAGATGCCCGGAGCTCAGGTGCAGGGCAAGAGACACGCGGAGCTCGGGCGCAGGGCGAGAGACGCGTGGAGCTTGAATATGGCCAGAATCTGGTTGTCTGCTCTGTAGCAAGGCTGAAGTGTCTTGTGAGAGTAGGAACTAGAGTCGTCGTGTTTCATTGTTGCTGGTGGATGTTAATGTTGCCGAAGATTCTGGGTGCATCGGTTTTGAACCACTATTTGAGTTGGACTGATGATGAACTGATTGATGAAGAATAAGCCACCCAAAAGGTGGCACGGGCATGAATAGCCCGTAAGTGGTGGCCCTTTTGAGCCATTACCAGTATCAATAGATGATACTGGAGATCTGTGGAGGTGCGACTGCACCCTGCGTGACAGGAGATGTCTCCCGTGTGGATGAACTGTGATTTGATGACTTATATTACAGGCTTCTCCTGATTTTGCCAAATTGACCAACATTTAGCAGGTTACCTCTCGGCATCCTCGGTGATGCCTGTACACTTGGGAAGAGATTAATTGTAATTAGCACATATGGGATTAGTGTAGAACTTCTTGGAATGTGGAATTTTCAGGCATAGGTAATGTGGAATTAAGTCACATCTAATTACCTGCAATGAAACTTCAGAGAAGTTGGAGCAAGTATATTACTACTTTATATATTTGCTACAGACTACGAGAAGCTGAGCTTCTGGATGCTTGGAATTTGGTTCTATCTGTAGTTCACATGCAGAGTATATCAAACTTTCTCATTGAAAGTCTGTTGCATTCCATATCCATGGAGTAAACCTTTGATGATGCGTCTTTCCACTGGCTATGTAATTCTTTTGTCTTCCCAGCCGACCGGGGAGCCGGTCGGCCGAGCAGACAGCACGCTGGACTTGTGATCCTATGGTCCCGGGTTCGATCCCGGGTGCCGGCGAGAAACAATGGGCAGAGTGTCTTTCACCCTATGCCCCTGTTACCTAGCAGTAAAATAGGTACCTGGGTGTTAGTCAGCTGTCACGAGCTGCTTCCTGGGGGTGGAGGCCTGGTCGAGGACCGGGCCGCGGGGACACTAAAGCCCCGAAATCATCTCAAGATAACCTCAAGATAAGATAGTGGGGGGTAATTGCAAAGAATCCCCTGGTCCCTGTGTCTCTGTGAAGAAGGGAAAGGAATCCAGGTTGTGGCTCTAGTCAGCAGTAGGCTATTAAGGACTCCTGGGACTGATATTATATTCACTTGTGTGTGGGGCTAGCTACAGGGAGCCACTGAGGCCCAACCCATGTAAAACTGAGGAAGAAAAACACATTTTATTACCATTTTCTTTTATTTATTTTTAAAGTACTGTACACCATAAAAAAATTCTTATCTAAATTCTATATACTGTAGTGTGGTTTTACATTCTCTTTAGTTTTTAATAATAGAAGGCGTTGCTTTAAAATGCAACGGCTTCTATGCTTTCTGTATTGTGCATTCTGATAATCTTGAGCATTTCTGCAGAAGACAAGCTCATGCCCAGGAATTTCAATTTCACTTTGAGAGAATTAATCTGGTCTGATAAAAGGCATCTCATCTTAGCTTTCCTAATTAGTTGTAATGCCATCACTAGATAGGTGTGCGCTCGTTTGGCTCATCAGGGTTGAAGATTTGAGTTAATTTTGAACAGCAATTGAACAGCTGCTGATAGTAATTCTTTGGATTCATTTTGAAATTCTTTGTTGGCAGTCTTTGGTTGATTTTAGTAAATGTTTCGTGAATTACCATCAGTCAGATACCTAGAAAGAAAAAAATTTGCTAAGCTGTTTTTTTTCTGTAAATTCTGTATTTATGCAGAGACGTTTTAGTTGTTTTAATAATCAATGTTTCTATTATTACATAATTATCTGTGTTTAGCCCAAGAATTATATAATATTTTTTTCTCCTTTCCTACTCCACCTGGGACAGGCAGGGGGCACCCTGGTAAGGTTTCTTCTCTGCAAGTCTTGTAATATCTTGCTTCTTTTAACTTTTTATTCGTCTTTTATTGTCTCAAAATGCATTAAAAGATGCTGGTCTCAAGATTTTCATACTTTTTATTTTTTATATTTTTTGTTGATAGTTTTGGAAATATAAAATGCTGAATGTGTCAAGAATTTCGGACTTATGGTTTTTAACCCTTAAATTGCTCAAAACATCATATGATGTGTGACATTGAATGGGGTATAATTTGAAAAATATTCAAATTATGTAAACATTACTTAAAAATGTTAAACAAATCTCACTTATTGGCTTCAGCTTCATGAAACTTTCATCAAAATATTTTCAGAAATTGATTTTAGACATATTTAAAAAATGTTTTGATGATAAAGAGAACAGCTCCTATTAACTGGAACTGATGGATAATGCAATAATAGAGATGTAATAACCTGTCTGATGCACAAAGAAGAAGAATAGTAAAGGAACAAATCCACAAGGGCCGTGACGAGGATTCGAACCTGCGTCCGGGAGCATCCCAGACGCTGCCTTAATCGACTGAGCTACGACAAGTGTGAAGAAGAATAGTAGTAAGAACGTGTCCACGAAGTGGATATGCAGCTGGTGCCTTTATAGCATTGCTGAGTCGTACATAATGACACAAATAATAATGAGTAATTATGTTATTATGATCTGTTTTGTTATCATATAAATACTTTTTTTTTTTTTTTTTTTGAGATATATACAAGAGTTGTTACATTCTTGTAGAGCCACTAGTACGCGTAGCGTTTCGGGCAGGTCCCTGGAATACAATCCCCTGCCGCGAAGAATCGTTTTTTCATCCAAGTACACATTTTACTGTTGCGTTAAACAGAGGCTACAGTTAAGGAATTGCGCCCAGTAAATCCTCCCCGGCCAGGATACGAACCCATGACATAGCGCTCGCGGAACGCCAGGCGAGTGTCTTACCACTACACCACGGAGACTGTTAATAACATTGCCCAATGTTATCAGTTACTTTCAACAATGTTACCTAGCAGTAAAATAAGTACCTGGGTGTTAGTCAGCTGTCATGGGCTGCTTCCTGGGGGTGGAGGCCTGGTCGAGGACCGGGCCGCGGGGACACTAAAAAGCCCCGAAATCATCTCAAGATAACCAAGATATGTCCAAAAAAAAATATTTTTTTGGGTAGAAATATTTTTTTAGGTTTTTAGTTTTTTTTCCATCCTTTGTTTATTATTTGAATTTGTTTTAACGTTTACATCCTGGAGAACGCATACGCGTCCCTAACTATGTGAAGCCAGAATTAAATTGGTCGACAAATAAATCGGTCACAACTCTCAGAACTTGGGACTTTGAATTTTCTTTGCCTGATTTTTTTTTTTTTTTCAGATTTCAAACTATTTTCCTTGTTTCTTTAGGTTGTTTTGATGATTAGGGACCAGATTAAAACTTTACTTACATAAAGTATACCCTAAATATATTCCCTAAAGCATTATAATTATCCCTATATATTTTTTTTTTTTTTTTTTATTTGGATGGGGTTCTTTTTTCTTTACTTAATTTCTACACACATTGACGTACAACTTTCACATACTTGAGTATGAATGGCAAACAATGTTTATTACAACAGACAAGTAAATTCATGAATTAGAACCGCCTTATTCATTGTCGATAACTTCAATTATATCTATAACTAGAATTTCAACTTGCTTCAGTATTCAAAAATCTAGTTTCTGACCGATTCTCACCATTTTTACATGAAGTGTGCACAGCTGTCTGTTCTACAATTCCTATAGAATTGATTTTTCATAAACTCGAAACGTTTGGAGTTATAAATTTTTGTTTAAATTTGCGCATATTTCAAATGCCATATTGACTTTTTTTTTTTTTACAGTAAACTATACTGAAAACCTATATTCTAAATATATGAAAATGAAGATCATATGCTATTCTGAGAGCATAATAACACCAAATGAACAGTTGGTGATATTTTTATATTTTTGCAGCCAATTTCAAAATCTGAAGTTTTCAATATTCAATTTTATAATTATTTTTTATTTTCTTGTTTTTCAAGTCACACTGGTATCATTTAGACAAAGTTGGAGCATTTGCCTAGTAGATTATGCATAAAACATTTGAAAGAGTTTCAGAGAATTTTAAAAGCAGAGTTCAATGTCACACATGACATTTTGTGCAGTTTAAGGGTTAATAATATATACAGTATTGGCCAGTTTTCAGCATTTGCTTTAGGTTTTTTTTAATTGTTATTTTACATATTTTTGGAAGATTCTTCATGTGCCTCCCTATCATGGTAGAAGTTGTCACTAATTAGGTACATTACACTATGTAACACAATTTTTGTCCCTGGGTAATAACTGTTAGTTTGTTACGGAAATCTTGGACACAATGATAGCCATCCTGCGGCCTACCCTCATGCCCATGATTTCCATCAGTGTGCCGCTCTGACGGCCGTCTACGCTAATGTCTTGGGCCAATATTCGGGCATGGAGGTTTTGGGGGTCGGACAGGGTCATGGCAGCCAGGCAGTTTGTGAATGTCCCTGGTCCTCTGTGGCCTTGTTGTTTTTGGGTCGTGTGTTGTGGTTGAAAGTTTTGTCTTTGGATTGATACTTTGGGTACTACTTGGGTATTACCACCACCTGGTAAGTGCCCTCTTTTGTCCTTCTGTGGGTAGTTGGCTTCAGGGACCCGATGGGTTCCCCTCCAGAAAGCCAGCATTGAATGTAATGAAATGGTAGTTTCTGGGTGAGCCCCGGATGCTTCCTGATGTCCTCCCTCTTCCAGGGTATCGGTGTCTCATCGTCATTGAACTGAGGGTGGGCGAGTGTGCTGGCTCGGTGCACCTCCTTCCTCCCCCTAAAAGAGAGGGGGTGGGGCAAAACTTCACCAAGCTTTGTTGGTTTGTTGTCATTGTTAAGGAGTTCTTTTGGCATTTTGGGGCTGTGGTCTCATTTTTAATCCATGCAGTGGTCTGTTTTTGGTTTGCCTATCTTTCTGGATGCTTTCCCCAATTGGTGGCAAGTTTGGTTAACTTTAAGTGTAAAGTGTTCATAGGCCATTGGTTCCTGCACCTTTGAGCCAGGTTCCTGGTTCACCTTCCTGCCAGGTTCTAGTTGGTGGTCTCCAGTAGGCCAATAGAATTCTGTGACTGATGGCACCTGGTAGTATGGCATTCAATCGGTGAGCTAGCTTAAAGCAGCCTCCGAAGCTTACTCGGAAACTGGCATTTCATTACACTGAAAGATTTTTATGCTTCCCTTGTTGTGTGGACTTTGAGAAAAAATATGCTTGACCACTGTGCTGCGCCAACCGAGAAAAGTCTGTCGGTGGAAACTTATCATTTTACAAAGATAAAAAAAAAAATTGCAGACACTTGATTTTCGGCGTACAAGGGGAACCGTCACAATAAATGAAGCTTATCACAGTGGTTAAAGCTGAATGTGCTCTAAGCATCATGATGGGTTTGGATGTCATAATGATTACCTGATGGGTTTGGATGTCAGTATCCAAGAGGTTAGCCTCCTCTGGAAGGATGCCCAACGCTGCTAGTGCATGAGTTTTCCGATGCCTTTGCAAGATTTGGTGGTTGGATGCTGACTGAGGTTTTCAAACATGTTTGAGGAACACAGATTTCCACAAGCTTGGTTTTTATGGTATGCCTTTCATGCTTTTTACAGCTGCTTGTTCCCAAGTTCGGGTTGGTTCTCAGTGGCCATTTCCTGTGCCTGGATGACTGTAGAATCTGGTAAAATCCTGGTGGTCACAGGGATTTACCCCTGATGGTTCTGTGCCTGCCATTTCAGAGTAGTCATTCAGGGTTTTCAGTCCTTGCCTTCTTGTTGCAAGGGCATGCCTGTGGTACTTTTTCTTATGGTTTGCCCTTTGGCTTTGATATGCAGTGGGAGTTTGGTCTGGTCTTCCTTTTTAGCTTCTTGATGCTCAGATCTTTCAAGTGTTATTACATAGCATGATTGGGGGAGGTGGGTAGGCCTTGAGTTTCCCACATTTTTCTTTGGCATTGTCAGTCTGGGATTTCTCTCGTCTGTGACTGCATTAAGTCTGCAAGAGTTAGTGGGTTCCTATTTGTTCAGTTTTCCCTCCATTCTGCCTTTCCTGCTTGGTATGACGTATCGGAAAAATTGAAAAAGACAGATACATACATACATAGAGGGGAGTGGGGGGAGTGAGTTGGAAGGGTGGGGAGAGAGAGAGAGAGTGGGTGGGGAGGGGGGGAAGGTGGAGAGTGAGGAAGAGTAGTCAGGAGAAAGGGAAAGTTTAGAATGAGAGAGAATGGGATAGAGTAGGTAGATGGGTAGTAGATGAGAGATAGAAAGGATAGAAGAGTAGAAAGTGCTGTCACCATCCATTCAAGAGTTATTTATAAGACATGGAATGGAACTTGCGTGTTGAGCAGTATTAAATGAAGTAACAAGCAACAACTGCAAGCATGTAAGTCATATAATTGTTTAACAAGACTGAGTCTTTAGTAAGTAAACTTCTGAGTGCTCTCCATTCCAGCTATTATAATTAGACATGAATTCAAGATAAAAGGGATCAGAATTAATGACAAATTAAAAGTAAGTCAAGTGATTATTATTATATTTTCATGATTCAATCGTGTGGATAACATAATTTAACCATTTCCCTTGACGTTCAAATATCTACATTAATTCAGAATTTGAGTCGCCACACAAGAAATTGAGAACAACTACGGTGGTCTGCCCCTGAAAATCATGCATGAAAATTGGGAAATGCCAAATACATCAACTTTATAATTTAATTTGCCAAAGTCTGAGTAAAATGTGGTTAGAGAAGAGAGGGGGTGGTATGGCTGACAGTCGGTAACACCGAGAGTCCTGTCTCGCTATCACCGGGGTCAAACCACGGTCCGCAGGACTATGTATCTAGTATGCTGTCCATTTGGCCAACAGGTGCCGTGAACTGATATTGGCAGCACCATGTGTGAAATATTGAATGTATGTT